AGGAAGTTGTTGTTAACATATACAACAACATATACTGCTGCCACTATGTCCTGACAGTGAGGGAAGGAACATTTAAGGTAATGGATAGGCTTTAATCACCATCATTTAGTCCTGGATGGTGTCAACCTTCTTGAGCTGCACTCATTCAGGCAAGTGCAGGCTTGTTGATTAACCATTGTAAATGCAGAGTTATGGGGATAAGGCAGGGGGCTAGGTCTGGGTGGGATGCTCTTTGACGTGTTGGTGCAGACTCGATCCATCCTGAAGTCATAACATGTGGGCTAAAAGGGTTGAGAGTGGGACTTTCACCTCTCAGTGAGATGAATTACAACAAATGTCCCAGACAACTCTATCACCATTATAAAGTAGGTCCTGTCCTACTGGCTTCAATATCCACCAGAGGTATCAACATAGTGGTATACAGTCGGGAGTTAGTAGTCCTGGGAATACGCAAGAATGACTCTGCACTCCATGAAGTCTCAAAGGTTCAGATCAAACACAGCCAAGGAAACCTCTTGCTGATCACCAACTGCTACCCTCCATTAGCTGAGAAATCAGTACTCCTCCACCTTGGACAGCACTTGGAAGATACATTGAGGGCAACAATGGCACAGAATGTACTCTTACTGAGGGAGTTGCTCTTAGTTTTACATTATTTGTTTTTAATTATATTCAAGTAGACCCTGTTCAGTAGCATTTTGGTAAAGCTAAATGGTTTCCTAGGTCATTTAAGAAGGAAGCTGAGAATCAACCACATTGTATGGGCCTGGAGTCACATGTAGGACAGACTGGGTAAGGATTGCAGCAGATTACTTTTGCTGTAGATATTAGTAAACCAGACGGGCTTTTACAACAATCCTGCTGTTTCATGGTCACTATTACCAAGGCTAACATTTTAATTCCAGATCTATGAAACAAATTCAAATCCCACCAGCTGCCATGGGAGTTATGATTGAGCAGGAACTTAACAAAACCAGCCATCAAAATATTATGGCTATAGAAGCACTTCAGAGACTGGGTGCTTTGTGACAAGTACCTCCCTTCCTGTCTCCTCAAAGCCTATCTACCATCAGTAAGGCACAAGATAGAATAAGATAGAATGCTATCCACGTGTCCAGATTAGTGCAGCTCCAACATCACTCAAGAGCCTCCACACCAACTGTGTACAGTGGCCACAGTGTGCACCATATACAAGGTGCACTGAAGAGACTCACAAAAGGTCTGGTTCAGAACTTTGTCAATATTACAAAAAATGGCCACACAATGGGTATTTTTTGTATAAGGTAATGTTTATGAAGGATGCCTGACCAAGTGTAGTTGGACTAATTGCTATCACACAATAAACTTTCTTGTTATCTCAGAACAGTGGCTCTTCTAAAGGTTCGCCACAGTGATGTATCCTCTAGCACTAATCAGTAGATAGACAAAACAAAGTCAAACAAGTATTGATGGCAGCAATCTACATCAAATAACCCGTATCAGTACCACATTCTGCTGGAGGTGGCAAATACCACAAGCAGTGGTCATCTGGGAAAAATACCTCATCAAATGTGGACAAAAGCTGTAGACCTCAGGAGCCTATCAACGAATTAGTCGAGTGGCAATTATGCGGCAAATAGAATTCAATTTAGAAATGTGTGCAATAATCTATTTGGGTAGGGCAAATAAGGAAAGAGATTACACAGTGTATTAGTGGAAACTGAAGTGTAGAGAAACAGAAGGAGCTTGAAGTGAATGTCCAATGATCTCTGAACCAAGCAGGATAGGTCACTGAGCTATGCTTCTTTGTTCATGTGATGTGGGTATTGCAAGTGGGGCCAGAATTTATTGCCCATCTGTAATTGCCCTTGCGATCAGTTTAGAAACAACCACATTGCATTTGTTCTGGTGTCAAATGTAAATCAGAACAAATAAGGATGGCATATTTCCTTCCCCAAAAGGGATTTTATAACAGTGATAAATTATGGTCAGCACTAATGAGACTAGCTTTTAATTTCAGAGTTTTTAGAAACTTAGTTTAAATTCCAACAGTTTCCATGGAGGGATATAAATCAACATCCCCCAGAACATTAACCTGGGGCTCTGGATTACTCTAGTCTAGCGACATTACCAATACTCCAGTATCTCCCCTGAAAAAGGTTAAAAAGATTTAAATATTACTATCTCATATTGGATGAGACATGGAATACAAGACAAGGAAGATAATATGCTAGACTTTTAAAAGCACTAGTTATGGCACAGCTAGTCCTGCACACAGTCTGGTCATCACATTCCAGGAAGGATGTGATCAAACCAGAGAAGATACAAAGGAAATTTGTAAGGATATTGCCAGAACTGGAAAATATTAACAATGAGGAAAGCATAGATACTCTGGAGTTGTTTCTTTGAAACAGAGGACACTGAAAGGAGATTTACTTAAAGTGTTTTAAATTATGAGCTGCCTAGCCAGAATGGACAGGAAGGATTTCCCTTAGCAGAGAGTCCAATAACTATGGGGCACAGTTGTAAAGTGATGTGTAGCCAGATCAGAGGGGAGTTAAGAATTTTATTTTTCAGCCTAAGGATCTGGATATCACTGCCTAACCAGTTTCCAAAAGTGCTTGAAAATGCACTTGAGCTCACTTGATAAGCACAGTTCCAAAACAATCTTGAAATGCAATATCATCTAGAGCAACTCCACTTAATCAGTACCCTACCTTAAAGCCAGCACTGGTTCAGAGTACATGGCAGCAAGGTGTACCATCTATAAAATGAACCATAACAACTTGCCAAGTCTCCATCAACATCATCAAAGGTGGAATCTCAGAAGGTTGAGAACGCCAACATCTCCAAATTCCGCTCCTAGTCACACATCTCCATGGTTTGGGAAATGTACCAATATGTCTTCATTGTTACTATTTAGAAGCACTGGGTGTATCTTCATCAGACTGACTGCAGTGGTTCAAGAAAGTGGTCCATCACTATCTCTTCAAGGGAAAGGCCAATGACAGCAATACTTACAACACTCCATACGGCAAGATGACAGAATCAACTGATATCTGGAAACAGGTAAGCCCTTTTAATTGTATAAAATGATTTTTTTCCTTTTTTGTATTTTGTGTTAGAAGTGCTTTAATAGAGTGGACTTTTCCTAGCAGTAACCTTTTAAATTCATTTTTTTTATATCATAAGGATGCTATGGCATTGTTTTTTTTAAGAGAGAGGATTTTTTTTTTTCTTCAGTGCAGTTGTAGCCTTCAGTCTTGATTATATTTAGAACTTTGGCTCTGAACTCAGACATGTGATGAATGGCTGTTTCAAGAATAATTTTTCAAGAGATGTCACTGTTGAAATTTGCTTTCTACCCTTTGGTTTTAATTTACTATCACCACCATCTTCTAGTACCCATTTACTGCCATAACTAACTCCATGGTTTTCGATATGTTACTACATGTGATATATATCACAGAAAATTGGGTTCATATTGAATCAGATATCTGGAAGTTTGCTAACAACTAACTACATACATTCATGTGACATTTCAGACTTACATATACAGTTTGGTTTATATCTTACTTGGGTAACTATATTACCCACTGAGTTGACAGCGCAACAAACAGTCTGATTAGCAGATTGACCATCTGCATAATGAATGATGACTGATTGATCAGAGAGTAAGATAGAGACCTCCTATATGAGTGTTGCATGTTTTGATATTATCTCTCTCAAAGATGTAATGTCTTTCTGAAATCTGTGCAACAATACAATAGAAAGTATTGGGGACCTCAGACCTTATCCAATTCAAACAGAAAAATAAGTCACTGGTGTCAAGCCAGACCATAACATAAACCTGTTGGTCTTGTCTGGGATCATAACATGGGTGAGGACGTGAGTGGGAGAGGGGTTTGGTGGCAGGTGGATGAGGGACCTGGTGTGGTTAGTGATGTGGTTACATTAGGTAGGAGGGGTTGTCAGGGATTTGGGCAGGTTCTTCTTGAGGTAGATGTCTTTAAGTTTATTTACAACACTATTTACACAGCTGCGATATCATACACCTAACAAAGCCTGTTCTGTTTCTACTGATGTTACTGTACATTACATACATGTAACTGACTAAAGACACTAAAATGACTCTATGACAGAGAGAGTGACTGAAAGTGAGGTGGGCACTTTTATAATACATCGCATAAAGGTACAGTTCTGGATGGAATCTGTCATAATGCAACAGGACTCTTGTGCAGATGCTAGAGTCAAAGAAAACGCGGTGTGGAGCTAAAGGGACACAGCAGGCCAGGCAGCATTAGAGGAGCAGGAAAGTTGACGTTTCGGGCCGGGACCCTTCGCAGTTATAGTGTCCCCGCCTCTGAGCTAGGACGCCGGCTTTAAGCCCCAACTGTTCCAAAGGTGTGTTATAACATCCCTGAGCATTGGTCAGAAAGTATCAGCAGCTTTCCGGATAAATAAATCGAAACCCTCCAAAGTCTCCAGCTCTAACTCAAAGTTGGAGACGTTAGAGATGCAGATAAATACCGAGTTCCTTGTTAATGCTTCTGGAATAAAATCTTTCTAATTATGCTTGATCTCCAGAGACTGAAAACCTGGATCTCTCTCTCTCTCTTTGCCTATTCTATCAAAGCCCTTTCACAATTGTAAAGATTCCAATCAGGTCCCACCATAGCCACCTCGAGATAAAAGAGCCCCATCCTGTCTTATTCTCCCCTGACAGCTATAACCATTCCTGGTTTCAGACCATTTCTGCGCTCTCTCCAATGTCTCATACAAACATTTCAACAATATTTAGTAAATCTGAGTTGATTTGCAGTTGGAGGTTGAAGAGTGGCGTGTTGCTTTTTGGCTGTCTTTGTTTAGGAAGTTGGCATCCTTTGTACACTGGAAATGCAGGGGATCTTTGATCAAGAAGCTGTTTTTGTTATTTTGGTTTGAGAGCGTTGTGTTTTGGCTCGGGTCCCAGTTACGCTTCGCGTCACTCACTGTCGGGGAAGGCGGCGAGGGAGGAGGAAGAAGGACCGGGGTTGGATAGTGTGTGTGTGTGGGGTGGGGACGTCAAGTCTGCTAAAGGACAGCCACCCAGAGAGGAAGCTGAACACAGTCTACCCGAGAGAGAGAGAGAGAGAGACAGCAGCTCAAACATGATCTCTCTGATATCCAGGATCTCCGTCTTCGGCTTGTTGTGGGCGCTGGGTAAGGAGCGTGTGTCTGATTGCGGGTCTGCAGCCTTTTCCTGCTTTAACCTGGGTTAGTGGCTGGGGAGACAGGGATCTGGCCGGAGGTAGGGCTGAGCGAAGCTGCTGTGTTCCGAGCCCAGGGCCGGCCTGAGGGGCACACAGAGTGGCTGGGGCTGAGGGACCCGGCCGCCGGGACTCAGCAAGCACTGGGCATGGAGGGGGGTGGTGGAGGAGAGGGGGACGGGGATACAAAGAGCGTGGGATCGGCTTTTTCATTCACGCAATGCCTCTCTCCACCACCTCCCCCCCCCCCCCCCCAACTCCGGCTCGTTCGGAAACCTCCTGCCGGAGGAGACACTGAGAGCTGGGCCCGGCTTTCTCATTTCGAACCGCTCACTTCCTTCTCCCGACCTTGTTTCTCTTTCTCATCCGCAGCCAAAGAGATTTGAGTTCATAGACCCAGTAATCCCTCCTGCCCCCACTTTCCCCCTTCTGCCACCACTATCCCCTATTCTTCCCCACTATTCCCCTCTCCTCCGCCACTAACCCTTTTCCTTCCCAACTATTCCCTCTCCTTCCCCCACCACCCCCCTCTACCTCCACTATCCCCCTCTCCACCCTAACTATCCGCTCTCTGCCCCCACAATCCGTCCTCTGCCCCCACTATCCCTCTTCTGCCCCCACTATAGCCTCTCTATCCCCCTCTCTATCCCCACTATCCCCACTGCCCTCACTATCCTCCCTCCTCCCTCACTATCCCCATCATCAAAACACCTCTCCCCCAATATTCTCACCCACTATTCCCCTTTCTCTACTATTCTCCCTCACCACTATCTCATCAACACCTCCCATCGATAGTGAATGGCCTTTAAATGATTGATTTTGTTTGATAAAAAAATCTTTACAGGGGTTTGAGAATGGGCCATTTATAAACTGTGGATGATTTGTGTAAATACAGTATCTGTGGAGCTGGATCATGACTGAAACCATAGAATCATAGAATTTTACAGTACAGCCAGTACTTTCTCATTTTACTTGCACAAGTTTAAAATCTATCACACATTCATTGAAGCTTCTCCTTCTTGAGTTCTCTGTGGGAAAAGCTGGTTTGTCCCACAGGTCAACAGTATCCACCATGTACCCATGGCAAGGGGCCAGCTCCTAAACCCACCCCCAACTCAAACAGTGAAATCAAAACCCATTTGATCCACACTGGCTTTCAAGCCAATCAACTCCTCCCCAGAAAGTTCCAGTTGCTATAGCAACATATAGGTTTGCATGCATGCTATATCCTAGACCTATGGACAGTGATGGTAAAGGCTCAAATTTGTTTCAACCACATGGCTGACCAGGATGTTCTGCTGCCCTTATTGCCTGCCATTGGCAATTGTTGGAAGGGTTTACAAGTTGATTCTCAATGTGTTTGGCCATGTTATGAATGCCTTCAAGTCCTGAAGTGGGATTTGAACCTGGAACTTCTGGCTGAGAAACATGGACACTACCCACTAACCAGACCTCCTTCACTTTGGAGGATCATGAATACTAAATAGATGAGGAAAGCCATTGAGCCCATCTGAGGACTTACATACAGAAATAACCTACAATTCTACCAACAGCACTTGATTGTCACTTAAGTAATTCCATTTTTTTTTGCTCTCCCACTCTCCCACCAGTCAATCTATCCTGAAACCTGTTTCACGTTAGTCTCTGTTTGTGTGAAAGCTTTCAAACATGAGTTCTAAACTGATCTTAGTCAGTCAGCTCCCATATCCATTGAAATCTCCATATTTCATTCCCATTCTGTGGTTCTTAATTATAAACAAAATATGTTATCTGAACATATGTTGCATATAGTTTTAAGTACCAGAATTACTTTTGTAAGACGAAAGCAAACGTTTAATGTCCAATTCTCAAGTTGAAGTTACAATTGGATTTAATAGCAAAAAGGAAAATGAAATCAGCCAGACATCAAGTTTCCTAATTACATTTGAACGATTCTTCTGGAAGGTGTGTATTGTGGACTTTGGGAGAGGGTAGGTTTGGGTTTAGCCATGATCTTCCTACAGTTGATTATCCTGCCAATAATCATTGCACATGGTCAAGATATTACTAAGTTTCTGGAACCTTAAAGATTATTGCAACAAGAATCAGTCAGGTTGAAATTGATCTTGAATGGGTAATTGGACAAATCTGGATAAATCAGATTAAAATGAATAGACTGTTTTGTACCATGTCTGAAACCTCAATGAACAATAAATGGGTATAAACTGGGTTCCTGATTTGCTGTTATCGATTTAGCAACATCATCCAAAACCAAATTCAACCACCACGTTTCCCCATTCAGCCTCCCTGTACAAGAGGAGAAAGTATGTAGAGGAAAGAAAACCTTGGATAGCATTTTGGCCATCAACATTTTCCTTTTGCCAGTCATGTGCAATGTGTAGGAAGGAATAGTTCAGAATTTGGTAGATTGAAGATTTTATTTTAGATTTTGATCTGGAAATATGGGTGATGATTTTAAATTTTCATTTATTGCTCATCCCTAGTCAACTTGACAGGGTGATGGTGGGATATCTCTGTATTCTGTGTATATGATGTTATGTGACAGCTTAATTTGCTGTAAGGAATATTTGTTTAGCAGCAATACCACTATGTTGTTTCTAAGATGTGGCATTTGATACAAAGCAGAACATGTATAATTTGTTGTGGGTTAGACACTACATAATCTGTCAATAGTGTGTTGTTGATGTAGCTGGCATGCTGGAACATGTGTTTGTTAAGGTTGACTGAAGTAAGATAGACATTGCATGATACATTGATTAAAAAAAAAATGAAATTCTGTTGAAAAACCAAGCCTGTGTTTCCTTTCTGTGGAAAAAGGATCTTGAGTTCCCAATTTGATTAATGGCATGCAGTTAAAGAGGAGCTTGTTGGTTGCATATGCGGTTTGGGTCATTTATACTTGTGATTTCTTCCATTACTCTTAATGTGGATATTTTTGAGTAACAGTGATATGTTTTGCAGTAATAAATCTGAAATGGAGGATTTACAAAACTGACAAAGAGTGGGAGACACCTTACAAGCAGAAACACATTTAATCTTCAGTGTTCTTATCATTTAGCTATGAATGTCAGTTTACCAACCTCACATTGAGATTCATGTCTTGATTTTGCATACGACTGAGACTTCCTCTTTAGCTGTCGGTACTAATGATATGGATAGTATTGTACATCTGTCAAAGATGTCAAGCATACTATATCTCTAGAGATTGGGTGGTGCAATGTTTTAAAAGATTGATCTTGTACCACCTGGGGCTCTTGTTTAAATCTAACCAACAGTAATAGCTGATAATCTTATTTTTTTGGTAACTGGGATCAGTCCTGAATGAAATGAATTTGGCCAGTGTGAATTCAGCTTCTGCTCGTCATGGACCTGAAATTGGTTGGCTCTTTGCTGTCTATGAGCAATGATGGGAATACAACCTCAGAACTTTGGTGAGGTCGGGTGAGATCATCTGCTGCACTTCCTTTGATGGCTAAACAAGATCACTTCTGGAAGGGCAAAGTCTGCCATGAATGCCAGACATGAAGTTATCCCTTGCTGTTGGAGTGAGATGATCTTTGCTGATGCCTTAGTTTTCAGGCCTGCTGTTTGGTCTTTGGATTGAAATGGATAGTCATGTGACATTTACCATGAGGCACACACTCTATAGGCAGACATCTTAAGTTTCACTTCAGTAAAGTCTTAAGTGTTGAGAACACTGTTGTGCTGTACATTTGCAAGATGGTGTCAGAAGTGATGTGTGTCCAGAACTGGTATAAAAAACACAGCTGCAGAGCTGTGAGCTGACTGATACAGAAAAAAAATGAAGAACATGCACTTCTTAAAGGAAACTGGTTGCAACTTTTCTCCTGTTAACACCTGTTCAATTGACTGGGGATCTGAAGCAAAATTTGGAATTCTTCCACGAACAATGAGAGACTTACAGTTGCAATAAAATCGACTAATTAATAATGGTTTCAGTTTCCCAACTGTAAATTCTCCCTTTCTGAAACGTTGAAATTTTAAATAGAAATAAAAAAGAGAGAACTCGTAAAAGCACAAGAGCAGGTTGTGAAATGGAACTGAAAAAAAAGGGACAACTTGTGGGACTGGTGCTGGGAGAATGTCAAGGGTCATCAGTCCAAGCATTACACTAGCTCCAGCTGAGATGAGTGACATTTATTTGTTGTGTATGCTATGGAATTCCACATTCTTGCTCATGTTGTCACAATGGGTCCTCAGAGTAATCTGTCCTCTCAGCACAAGAATGGTGTCATTATAAAGCATTAACCTTACTTTTGAGGGCTTCATTTTTGGATTGCTGTTCACTTTGCACATGTCTGTGAAGATTATGATGTTGCATGGTTTTTTTTATTAGTTCACTCATGGGATGTTGGTATTGCTGGCTGGGCCAGCATTTATTGTTCAGTCCTAGTTGCTCATGACTAACTGGTGAGCTGTCTTCTTGAACCATTGTAGTTCATGTGTTGTAGGTAGGCCCATGGTACCATTAGGGAGGAATTTCCAGGATTTTGACCCAACAACACATGAGGAATGGTGATATATTTCCACGTCAAGTGGTGAGCGGCTTGGAGAGGAACTTGCAGATGGTGGTTTTTCCATGTATCTGCTGCCTTTGTCCTCTGAAATGGAAGAGGTCATTGGTTCGCGTCTATCTGACATTTCATGTTGACCTGATGTTTTTCTTCTGCAGTCCTCATTCCAATAGTTACACTTGAACTAACCTATTGTATGGCATATAGTGATTTGTCAGAATCTTTAGCCAGTATCTCTCTGGTGGCTACCTGCACCTGTTTCCTTTTAGTCATGTACTTGCATGCAAAATGATTCAGCTTCTTGCAGTGAGAGCACTATTTTACACCCAGTGGAGATGCCTCTTCACTTTGCATGATGCCTTCCACAGTAGTTGCATCCTACCATTAGACCCAATTGTTCTACCCCGTATACCTGTCA